CTTTGTAAAGCCAGACAAAGTAAAGTAAGGTAAAGATTGCCTCTTGCCATTAAATCTAGTTGTGTCCAACTCTGGGGGGTGGTACTCATCTCCATTTCTAAGCTGAAGAGCCGGTATTATCCATAGACACTTCTAAGGTCATGTGGCCAGCATGACTGCATGGAGCGCCGTTACTTTCCTGCTGAAGCTATACCTATTGATGTACTCACATTTACATGTTTTTGAATTGCTAGGTTGGCAGAAGCTGGGACTAACAGTGGGAGCTCACCCTTCTCCCCAGATTCGAACTGCCAACTTTTCAGTCAGCAAGTTCAGCAGCTCAGTTGTGCCATGGGTGGCCAGACACAAACTAAAAAATTAGAATGATAAAAGAGCCAAAAGGACCCAAAAGCCAGTAAAAACAAGCCAGGTAAAAGAAAATCACCCTAGACATGCATATTTCTAAGCTATGCATGGAATATATCTCTCTGTTGTGAAAGAATAATCAGTAGGTTGATATAGGTGCAGAAATTAAATAGCCCAGCTATCCCATCAGAAGGAAACTGCTTAATAAAGTTGTATGACCTTACTGAGATGGACAAATTGACAGTTTTGATTAAGGAAAAGTCATTAAATAGTTTTAATAAGGATTGGGAATTGACTTGTTTTTCTGATGGATTATTGAGGGAAATCATCTACAGCAGAAGAATAGCAGAATTAAATAATGTGCAGAAGCTTGTTTAAAGTATATTCTAGAGGAAGTATGATAATTTAGTAATTATAATCATTAGTTCAGAAGTCAGATGTCATTTGTCTTTCCCCTTGGGTTTAATGGTGTGCTAAATTTGGCGTATGGTGTTCATGTAATTTGTAGTGTTCATAATTATAGGTTGTAAATGTGGATGGTTTTTATTTTTTGTAATCTTGCCTTATATTATACAGTGAGACCTTCCTATTTGTTGGGATTAGGGGCACAGTACCCCTATGAAAGAGAAAAGATTGCAATTTTAATTTTACAAACCCTATATATTTTTTAATCTAAGAGAACATATTTTTGGGTCCTCCAATGCAGCTCATGTGAATGGGATCTAGGAATCTTAGGATGGATTTATGCTGCCATACAATTCAGTTTCAGAATGTCAGATCAACTGCATTGAACCGGATTTTATGAGTCTACACCAGTGTTTCTCAATCTGGGGGTTGGGACTCCCAGAGGGGTTGTGAGGGGATGTCAGAGGAGTCACCAAAGACCATCAGAAAACACACTATTTTCTGTTGGTCATGGCGGTTCTATGTGGGAAGTCTGGCTCAATTCTATTGTTGGTGGGATTCAGAATACTCTATAATTGTAGGTGAACTATAAATCCCAGCAACTACAACTTCCAAATGTCAAGGTCTATTTTCCCCAAACTCCACCAGTGTTCACATATGGGCATATTGAGTATATGTGCCAAGTTTGGTCTGGATCCATTATTGTTTCAGTCCACAGTGCTCTCTGGATGTAGGTGAGCTAAAACTCCAAAATTCTCACAAAACCCTTAAAGTATTTTCTCTTGTTCATGGGAGTTCTGTGTGCCAAGTTTGGCTCAATTCCATCACTGTTGGAGTTCAGAATGTTCTTTGTTTGTAGGTGAACTATAAATCCCAGCAATTACAACTCCCAAATGACAAGCCAATCAACCCCTCCTCAACCCCACCAGTATTCAAATTTGGGTGTATAAGGTATTTGTGCCAAATGTGGTCCAGTGAATGAAAATACATCGTGCATATCAAATAATTACATTATGATTAATAACACTAGCAACATTACAGTTATGAAGTAGCATCAAAAATAATGTTATGGCTGGAAGTCACCACAACATGATGAACTGTATTAAGAGGTCACAGCATTAGGAAGGTTGAGAAATACTGGTCTACACTGTCATAGAATCAAGTTCAATACAGCCTATCCGCATTCATTAGAGCGAGAGAGATACTCGCATGAACACCTCAGCAAATGAGAAGCCAAAAGTGGCAGGCTAAAACCCAACACCTTAATCAGTGGCTGAGAAACTCCCTCCTGGGCACACAGAAGATTGGGCGACCTGGAAGGCGCTGAACAGGCTGCGCTCTGACTCCACGAGATACAGAGCTAACCTTAAGAAACGGGGCCACAAAGTGAAGTCCACAACATGTGATTGTGGAGAAGAGCAAAACACAGACCACCTATTGCAATGCTATCTGAGCCCTGCCACATGCACAATGGAGGACCTTCTTATAGCAACACCAGAGGCACTCCAAGTGGCCAGCTCCTGGTCAAAGGACATTTAGCATTTTAAAACTTTTTTTGTGTTTTTAAATGCATTTTTACTGTACCCTCAACTTGCTTCTGACACGGTAAATAAATAAAATCTGCATTCTGAAATGACATGAGATGGCAGTGTAGATGCAGCTTTAACAGACTACCACCGGAACATGAGGCAGCAGTGTGATGTGGCAGCTACAAAATCCAATACGATTCTAGGCTGCATCAATAGTAGTGTTGTGATCAAGGAAAGTCACAGCACCACTCTATTCTGCTTTGGTCAGACATCACCTGGAAAACGGTTCGGGTCCAGACTACCTGGCTAACTGCACCTCAGGGGAGGCCCTCCTCTTGTTCTCACCCCCATCTCAAACCCGGATGGTGAAAACGAGAGAGGGCCTTCTCTGTAGTTGCCCCCCACATCTGGAACTCCCTCCCGAAGGAGATCAGAGTTGCCCCGTTGCTGTCCTCCTTTAGGAAGCAAATACAAACTTTCTTATGCACTCAGGCATATGGAGATGTAATCTGATCTTAGCTGGCTCCGATAGTTTCCTGTCTGGAACTCCCCTGTTTTCTGAGTGCTGTTCTTTATATATTTTCTGGTTTTAGAGTTTTTTAATTCTGGTAGCCAGGTTTTGTTCATTTTCCTGGTTTCCTCCTTTCTGTTGAAATTGTCCACATGCTTGTGGATTTCAATGGCTTCTCTGTGTAGTCTGACATGGTGGTTGTTGGTGTGGTCCAGCGTTTCTGTGTTCTCAAATAATATGCTGTGTCCAGGTTGGTTCATCAGGTGCTCTGCTATGGCTGACTTCTCAGGTTGAATTAGTGCCTTTCATGTTCCTTGATTCGTGTCTGGGTAATGCTGCATTTGATGGTCCCTATGTAACCTTGTTCACAGCTGCATGGTAAATGGTAGGCCCCCACAGAGAGGATTCCTCTTGTCCTTTGCTGAATGTAGCAAAGGACAGACTACGATGACAGGCTACACAGAGAAGCCATTGAAGCCAAATTCAGAAAACAGGAGAAATCCAGGCATGAAACAATCAGGGCAAGCTAACACCTCCCAACAAAGGATTCCCCCATTCAGAAATCAGTCAGGCTTGAAGTTACAAGGCTTTGCAATGCTTATCAGGATTAATCATCATACTTTCACACTTGCCTTCAAGCAATGGTTCTTAACCTGGTCAAATAGTCCCTGACCAATGTGGTCCCTGGCCAATGCGATCCCTGACCAAGTGGCCCCTGATCAAGTGGTCTCTGACCAAGTGGTCCCTGGTCAAAGTGGTCCCTGGCCAATGTGGTCCCTGGTCAAAGTGGCTCCTGACCAAGTGGCCCCTTACAAAGCGGCCCCTGACCAAGTGGTCCCTGGTTGAAGTAGTCCCTGTCAGGTAGCCCCTGACGAAGTGGTCCCGGTCAGTGGTCCCTGGTCAAAGTGGTCCCTGACCAACATGGCCCCTGACGAAGTGGTCCCTGACCAAGTGGTCTCTGAAAAAGTGGTCCCTGGTCAAAGTGGTCCCTGGCCAACATGGCCCCTGACGAAGTGGTCCCTGACCAAGTGGTCTCTGAAAAAGTGGTCCCTGGTCAAAGTGGTCCTTGGCCAACATGGCCCCTGACGAAGTGGTCCCTGACCAAGTGGTCTCTGAAAAAGTGGTCCCTGGTCAAAGTGGTCCCTGGCCAACATGGCCCCTGACAAAGTGGTCCCTGACCAAGTGGTCTCTGAAAAAGTGGTCCCTGGTCAAGTAATAATAATAATAACAACTTTATTTATAGACCAACCTCTCTCCCTAAGGGAACTCAGGACGGTTTACACACAAAGAAGGCAAACATTCAGTGCTGTTTTAAACTACAAATATTTTAAAACAGACAGAATAATGCCAAAATAATAACCATAAACTTGTGAGAAAAGAGAAATTAACACCAAAATGAGGACCAAATACAAATAATCAAATAAAGCTATTTATGCTAGTAATATCAATTAACCATTTAAACATAAAGCCTAGAAAAGGCAAGTAAAATACATTAAAATGAAAGTGCTGCTTGGTCAAGTGGTTGGGAACCACTGGCTCCAACAGACAAGAGTTCTTTCTCCCACCCTGGATCTTCCCTTTGCCTAGTTTCCAACAGACCTCACAACCTCTGAAAATGCCTGCCATAGATGTGGACGAAACGTCAGGAGAGAATGTTTCTGGAACATGGCCATACAGCCCGGAAAATTCACAGCAACCCAGTGATTCCGGCCATGAAAGCCTTCAAGAACACGTCTGAATTGTGTTACATACTAATGTAATTCTATAGCAGTTCAAATGGCATCAAGAGTGCAGTATTGCTGTACTGAGTTTGGCAATGCTTTCCAACAGGGGTCTGGTACCTTGACCTTTTCATAGGTATCACGGAAGGAAATGTTGATGTGTAGAGCGTGCCGGCGAGCATAATGTAGGAGAGCTTTGGCAAGGCTCTCCATGGGGTTGCACCGGGAAGGCTTGGCGGAGGAGGAGGAGGAGGAGGAAGAAGAGGACGAGGAGGCAGAGGCAAGAGCGCCTTTCTCAGCCCCGAGAGGCACCTGTCGAGGCGCTTTCCTGCGGCGGAGTTCGGGGCGGGCAGGCGAGGGCAGGCTTTTGAAGCCCGGCGGAGTCCGAGAGGCGGGGAGAAGGGCAGGAGAAAGAGGGAGGCGGGGACCTCGGCCAGCCTTAAGGGGGGAGAGAAGCGCGACCCATAGGGCGCCGAAAACCCTTCTCCTTCTCCTTCTTCTCCTCCTCCTCCTGCGGAGGCCAGCTCTCCCTCTCCGCCTCTTGCCGCCTCCGAAGCAGAAGGAGCCATGCAGAGGTCGCCGCTGGAGAAGGCGAACGTGTTCTCCAAGCTGTTCTTCAGGTGAGCGGGGCTTGGGGGGAAAAAGAAAGAAAGGGGGGAGATCGCCCCCAAACTGATCCTTTTCGCTTTGGCAAGGAAGCAAGCATCACCCCTTGAACCCTTTGCCCGACTTTCAGGGGCGCTTTGAGGAGGGATTTGTGTTGTCCAAAGGAATGGGAATAGCATTGTCCGAAGCGAAGTTATGGATTGTTTGGGAGGAGCGCGGGGCTGCCTCCCATCTCCTCCTGCTTCATCGGGATCTGGGCTTGGCAAAGAGCGGCCAAATGCCGATAGGTCAGTCCTGGAAACAGTTGGCCGGAGGAGAGGGAAGAGGAGGTTGGTTCCCACAGGAGGAGAGAGAGGAGAAAGAGGAGAAGGAGGAGGAGAACAAAGTGAAGAAGGAGTAGGGAGAGAAGGAAAAGGAGGAGGAGGTGAAGGAGGAGGAAGAGGAGGGGAAGGAGGAGGAGAAGGAGAAGGGGAAAAGAGAAGAAGGGAGACCTCTTCCATCCACTCCTTGCTCCCGTCCTTCTCAGTACCCTTAGCTCCCTCTGATCACTAAGAAGGGGGAAAGGAGGAGGAGGAGGAGGAGGAGAGAGAGTCCCATCATCTCCTTGCCTCCTTCCTTCTCAGTGCCCTTAGCTCCCTCTGATCACTAAGAAGGGGGAAAGGAGGAGGAGGAGGAGGAGGAGGAGGAGAGAGAGTCCCATCATCTCCTTGCCTCCTTCCTTCTCAGTGCCCTTAGCTCCCTCTGATCACTGAGGAGGAGGAAGAGAAGGAGAAGGAGAGAGTCCTCTTCCATCAATTCCTTTCCCCGTCCTTCTCAGTGCCCTTAGCTCTCTCTGATCACTAAGAAAGTGAAGAAGGAGGAGACGGAGGAGAAGAAGGGGGAGAGGAGAGAGAGCTCTTCCATCGACTCCTCGCCTCCTTCATTCTCGGTGCCCTTAGCTCCCTCTGATCACTGAGGAGGAGGAGGAGGAGGAGGAGGAGGAGGAGATTGAGCCCTCTTCCATCAACTCCTTGTCCCCTTCCTTCTAAGTGCCCTTAGCTCCCTCTGATCACTCAGAAGGAGGGGGAGGAGGATGAGGAGAAGGAGAAGGAGAGAGAGAGCCCTCTTCCATCAACTCCTTGCCCTTGTCCTTCTCAGTGCCCTTAGTTCCCTCTGATCACTGAGAAGGAGAAAGGAGGAGAAGGAGAAGAAAGGGAAGGAGAAGGAAAGAGAATCCTCTTCCATCAACTCCTTCCCCCCTTCCTTCCCGGTGCCCTTAGCTCCCTCTCATCACTGAGGAGAAGGAGAAGGAAAAAAGGAGAGAGATTCCTCTTCCATCAACTCCTTGCCCTGGTTCTTCTCAGTGCCCTTCGCTCCCTCTCATCACTGATGCTTTGTAATGCTGGCAGGTGCTGCTGGGGCTGGATCTATACTGTCTTATATCCTAGGATCTGATCCCAGATTATCTGACAGTGTAGAAGCATATAATCCAATTCAAAGCAGATAATCTGGGATCAGATCCTGGGGTATAGAGCAGTGGGGATCCAGAATAAACCATACTTTTCAAATTCATGCAGTTTCATTGAACATCCCTCCCCAAGTTCAAGTTCACCTTTGGTATCAATTGCCTTTTGGTTCACTTGCGGGATGGACTCCTTGCTTATTCTGACACAGAGCCCAAAGGCTAGGGCTCTTTCTACACTACCCCATAAAATCCATATTATCTGCTTTGAACTGTATTATATGGCAGTGTAGACTCATATAATCCAGTTCAAAGCAGATAATCTGGATTATCGACATTGATAATTGGATTATATGGCAGTATAGAAGGGGCCTTGGTTTACAGCACAGGTCCTTAAACTAAGGCCCGAGGGCCAGATACATTCCTCCAAGTTCATTCACTCAGGGTCAATCTATGTCTGAAACGCATGAAAGCACACAACAACAACGATCCTATCTCATCAGCCAAAAGCAGGCCCACATTTCCCATTAAAATACAATAAGTTTATATTTGTTAAAATAGTTCTTCATTTTAATTATTGTATTGTTTTTAAGTGTTTTTAGCACTACAAATAAAACATGTGCAGTGTGCATAGGAATTCATTCATGCTTTTTTCACATTATAATCCGGCCCTCCAACAATTTGAGGGACTGTGATCTGACCCTCTGTTTAAAAAGTTTGAGGAGCCCTGGTCTACAATGTGCCAGATCCCAGGATCTGATCCCAGATTATGCTATATAACACAATCTTTTGTTTCTGAAGTTATAAAGGTCATTTTCTCATTGGTTCTATCATACAAACATGGAAAAGTGTATAAAACTGCAAAAACGTCTTTGCAGGACATCCTGCAGCACATTTTGCTATAGTTTTTCAATGAATATCTCATCAAGTCTCAACTAATTCAATACACTTTGGGGCAGCCACAAAAATGAAGTTTCTGGAGAATAATAACTACTTTCAAAGTACTGGTAAAAATGTTGAAGCTTAAACCAACAGTGTGAAAACATAATAGAAGTTCTGTTATTGTCATTAAAACAATTAAATAAAAAAGATGACTGGAAACAAAAACAAAACAAAGTAAGTACCATAGAATTAAATGGGAAATAACACTTTCAAAAACCAGGAACAGATTTTTTTTTCCAAATTTTGTTACATAATATTATCTGCTTTGAACTGGATTATATGAGTCTACACTGCCAGATAATCTGGGATGAGAAGATAATCTGGGATCAGATCCTGGGACATAGGGCAGTGTAGATCCAGCTGAAAAAGGAGAATCCTGACCACAGTTCACCAAGGATTGACTCAGCAAAGGGCTCCAAGTTCTCAGCTTGGACATGGGATGAATGCAAGCTAGTCTGCGTTTCTTGTTCCAAAGGGGACCTTGTTGTCAAATCTAAAGTCACTTTGGATCAGAACCATAACCATAACCATAACAGATAAGAGAGCTGTTCCAATACAAAATGAAAGTCACAGATTGGTGGCACCTAGCTTGAAAACAGTTCATGTGAAAGAGATCTAGGAGTCTTAAAATCTGCACTGCCATATAATGCAGTTTCAGATTTTATGAGTCTAAACTGCCATGTAATCAAGTTCAACGCAGCTCATCAGCACTCTGAAATGGCATGAAATGGTAGTGTAGATCCAGCTTTAGCAGACTACCAGCTGAACACAGTCAGCAGTGTGATGTGGCAGCTACAAAAGCCAATGCGATTCTAAATTGCACCAATAGCGTGGAGATTGAGGGAAGTCATAGTCCCTATCTATTTTGCTTTGGTCAGTCCTCACCTGGAATACTGTGTTTAGTTCTGGGCACCACATTTCAAGAAGGATGTTGAAAGCTAACTTGTGTCCAGAGAAGGGCAAGCAAAATGATGCCCTATAAGGAGCATCTTGGGGAGCTGGGAATGTTTAGCTTAGAGAAAAGAAGGCAGAAAGGGGAGTCATGTTTACATATTTGAAAGAATGTCACATTGAGGAGGGAGCAAGCTTGTTTTCTGATGTTCTGGAGACTAGGGGCCCTTTCACACTGCCCTATATTCCAGGATTGGGTCCCAATTATCTGTTTTAAACTGGAATATATATGTCTCCACTGCCAGATAATCTGGAATCAGATCCTGGAATACAGGGGCAATGTGGAAGAACTCTAGGACTTGGAGCAATGGATTGGACTAGATGTACTCTGCGGTCTCTTCCAACTCTATGATGCTATAATTTTAATAAAGCTGTAAGAGGGGCTGCAGCCAGAGCTTTTTTAGTTCATTCTAAGTTCTTTAGTACAGTTTATTTGTCATCTTATTTCTTTCTAGGGGTGCATCTACACTGTAGAATTGATGCAGTTTGACATCACTTTAACTGTTATAGCTCAATGGATTTCTGGCAGTTGGAGTTGGGTGAGGCATTGGTCCTCTTTGACAGAGAAGGCTAAAGACCTTGTGAGGTGACAACTTCCATGATCCCAAAGCACTGAGCCATGGCAGTTGAAGTGGTGTCAAACCACACTATTTCTACAGTGTAGATGGCCCTGAGACATCAAGGTAAAGAGGAAAGGGGCTTTCAGGTGTTCTCCCATCATGGCCAACTCAAAGGTGGCTGAATGTCAGAAAAGTGGCTCTCATATGATGGTCTTGCATGAAGTTCCTTGAGTATCCTGTGTGTGATTTCTGTTTTAAACTAGAGGTAGGAATCATGTGCCATTGATGCTGCAAGTTCCACAGACTCTTGGAACATACTGGGCAGGAGGGGCTTGATTCCTCCTTCTCTAGACTAGGGGATGAGGGATGAGCTCCCTTGAATTAACTAACAAAAATTGGACCATCAAGATTCCCATCCAGTTGAGCCTTCTCAGGAATTGTCAGTCAGAAGTATACTAAATGATTTAACATTAAGAAATGTTAAGAAGGCTATTGTAGGAGTAATCAAGGTTGTCTGTGAAACATTATTTGCTAACTTACATAGGTGTAAGTTACCCTGAATTCATGAACAGCACTTCTACTTACACATTGCTCTCCAGATTGTAGGATGTTTCAGTGATAGTTTGCCCTCTTCCAAAAGTGGGATCATAGAATCATAGAGTTGGAAGAGACCTCATGGGTCATCCATTCCAACCCCCTTCAAAGAAGCAGGAAAATTGCATTCAAAGCACCCCCGACAGATCGCCAAAGGCCTCCAAAGAAGGAGCCTCTACCTCACTCCGGAGCAGTGAGTTCCACTGCTGAACAGCTCTCATAGTTAGGAAGTCTTCCTAATGTTCAGGTGGAATCCCCTTTCCAGTAGGCACAAGGAATTCCTCTATACCAGGGGTCCTCAGACTTTTAAAGTATGCACTATAGGTTGAACAAATTCCTATGCACACTGCACATATCTTATTTGTAGTGTAAAAAAAACCCTGAAAGAACAATACAATATTTAAAATGAAGAACAATTTAACCAGCTTAACCATACCAGTGTTTCAATGGGAAGTGTGAGGCTGTTTTTAGCTTATGAGAAAGTCAAGTTAACCAGGTTTGTTGTTGATGATGCCTTCAAGTTGTT